CCAGGTCATTAACTGTGCGAATTGCTGTTGCTTTACACCTACCTGTTGCGGTCACTAGCATAAATCACCATAAATTCTGCAAAGTAAATGTACAATTTCCATTCAACAGTCGTACTTTAAAAGTAACCTAGTTGTTCAGTGAGAAATTTTTTCGTCAAGATTTTAAGTGCCCGTATTTAAGAACCATGCATGCCTCAAGACTGAATTTGAAATACTTAAGTAGTACTTGGACAGGAAACACTCCCTCAAAACTTCAGCTTTCCAGCTTTTCTGGTTACCGAGTTAGCAGTTTTCCCGCTAAAACCTTCACATACCGGTATTTGGGTACCCCACGTGGCTAGAAAGCTGAATTTGAAACTTTTAAATTGCAGGTGGACAGGGAACATTCGCTTAAAATTTCAGCCTTCCAGTTCTTCTGACTGCCGAGTTAGTAATTTCCCTGCGGAAACTTTCATACCCCCTTACGTGAGTACAATGCATAGCTGGAGGCAGATTTTGAAATATTTGAATTGTACTTGGATGGGGGACATTCCCTCAAAATTTCAGCTTTCTAGCTTTCCTAGTACCCAAGTTAGCAATTTCCCCTCTAAAACTTTCGTACGCCCTTACGTGAGTACCGCGCATATCTTGGGGCTGAATTTGAAATATTTGAGTTGCACTTCGGTAGGGGATATTCTTCCAGAATTTCAGCTTTTTAGCTTTCTTGGTACCCAAGATAGCAATTTTGCCCATAAACCTTTTATATGCCCTTACAAGAGTACCATGCATAGCTTGGGGCTGAATTTAAAATATTTGAGTTGTACTTGGATAGAGAACATTTTCCCAAATTTTCAGCTTTCTAGCCTTCCTTGTATCAGACACACACAGCCTCTTCCCAATGTGCGTTTTTGCAATTTACATATATGCAAAAACGCATAAATATGATCGATGCTGCAACCAAAGCCAGACCTATCAACGTTTCGTTAGCCGCGCTGTGTTGGGCATAGGCTCAGAACAAGACTTTAAAATACCAAATTAAATCAGTCTGGAGTCCAAAACACAGCACAATACGAACTCGACAATCGCATTGCACGGCAAAGAAACTGAGATCAACCACTGAGCCTTCGAAAGAACTGGAACGTAACCTCAGGACCAAATTTGGAGTTCAGAACACACCCTGAGTGCCCTTCAAAAAATCCTGATAGTTTATAAAAGCACTAGTTGGTCGCAGTCATGCCAATTATAAGGTGATGATGGTGCAGTACATTAATTTCTTGTATGAATTTGTGCTTTATCCACGACGCGCCTTCATTAGCTGATTGCGAAAGCGCATGACC